AACAAATGGATGGATGCTCCACTGGAGGCACTCACTTTGTTACCCCAAGAGACTTGGAAGACAGCTACCCAGCCAACTGACTGGAAGAGATCCATATTTGTACCCTTTCCAAAAGAAAGGTGATCCCACTGAATGTGGAAATTATGGAATAATATCAATAATATCACATGCAAATGAAATCTTACCGAAGAAAATTCGAAAAATGGTTGCAGCAGTATATTGACTGTGAACTTCCAGAAATGCAATCTGGATTCAGAAGAGGACACGGAATGAGGGATATCATTGCCGATATCAGATAGATCTTGGTTCAAAGCAAAGAATACCAGAAAGATGTCTACTTATGTTTTATTGACTATGCAAAAGCATTTGATTGTGTAGATCATAACAAATTATGGGTATCATTGAGAAGAATGGGAATTCCAGAACACTTAATTGTACTCATGAGGAACCTGTACATAGACCAACAGGCTGTCATTCGAACAGAGCAAGGGGACACTGCATGGTTTAAAATCAAGAAGGGAATGTGTCAGAGTTGTATCCTTTCACCATACTTATTCAATCTATATGCCGAGCAAATAATCCAAGAAGCTGGACTATATAAAGAAGAATGTGGCATCAGGATTGGAGGAATAATCATTAACAACCTGCAATACGCTGATGACACAACTTTGCTTGCTGAAAGTGAGGATGACTTGAAGCACTTACTGATGAAGATTGAAGAATACAGTCTGAAGTATGGATTACATCTCAATATAAAGAAAACAAAAATCCTCACAGCTCGACCTATGAGCAGTATCATAATAAATGGAGAAAAGACTAAGGTTGTCAAAGAATTCATATTGCTTGGTTCTACAATGGATGCCAACGGAAGCAGCAGTCAGGACATTAGACGACATAAAGCACTGGGCAAATCAGCTGCAAAGGACCTCTTTCAAGTGCTGAGGAGCAAAGATATCTCCTTGAGGACTAAGTTGCACCTGACACAAGCCATGGTATTTTCAATCACCCCATATGCATGTGAGAGCTGGACAATGAATAAGGAAGACTGAAAAAAAGTTGCTGCTTTTGAGTTGTGGTGCTGACGAAGAATGCTGAAAGTACCATGAACTGCTAAAAGATCTAACAAATCTGTCCTGGAGGAAGTGCAGCCAGAATGCTCCTGGGAAGCAAGAATGGCCAGACTTCATCTTATCTACTTTGGCCATGTTGTAAGAAGGGACCATTCCCTGGAGAAGGATGTCATCCTTGATAAGGTGGAGGGTCAACAAAAGAGGGGAAGGCCCTCAATGAGATGGATTGACACAGTGGCTGTGGCAATGGACTCAAGTATAGCAATGGTGTGGAGCTGGGCAGTGTTTAGTTCTGCTGTGCATAGGGTCACTACGAATTGGAAATGATTCGATGGCACCTAACAACTAACAACAATATGTTCATCGCAGCACTATTTACAATAGCAAAAAGATGGAAACAACCTAGGTGCGCAGCAAGAGAAGAATGGATAGTTAAAGTATAGTACCTACACACAATGGAACACTATGCAACCCTAAAGAATAACTTAGAATCTGCAAAACACCGCATAATGTGAATGAACTTGGAGGACATGATGCTGAGTGAAATAAGTCAATCACAAAAGGACAAATATTGTATTAGTCCATTATTGTAAAAAGTTAAGGAAAGGTTTATATATGGAAGGAAATGTTCTTTGTTGGTTACCAGAGGTGGCAGGGGTGCAGAGGATTTATTTGGGTGAACAGAAGGGCAATGTACCAAATATGAGTGATCAACATGGTGGCATTGAGGAAGAAGACATAGAGAGATGCATGGGAGGTACAGATGACAAAGATGAACCTTTTTGCACATACAGTACTGCATTGTCAGTGAAGGCAAACATTGATATACGGGTGGATAGATGGGTGGACAGGCAGAAATATGAGGTATGTCTATGCAGGGGGGAGTGTGCCCAAGACCATGTACAGGGTTGGCAGACAATGTTTCTACAAGTGTATTTGCATGTTCTGTAAGATTTCCCAGGTATATAGTAGAGCTGACAAGGGACAAGTAGTAGTCCCATGTAGTCACTTCTTGGCCACAGCCAGCTACCTAGAGGGAGCAAGTAGTTGGACCTGTGGCCTCAGGACCATAGTCGCAGGGACATCAAGCTCAACTGGCATAATATGCTACACAAAAACATTGTTCCACATTCTACTTTGGCGAGTAGCAACTGGGATCTTAAAAGCTTGCAAGTGGCTATCTAGATGCAATGATGGGTCTCTCCTAGTCCAGAGTAAAGAAAAATGAAGAAAACTAAAGATGCATGGAAACAGTTAGTCTAAGCAAGTGATACACCGTGCAATCCTCAGCCTATATGACTGTGAGACCAGAAGAACTAGATGGTGCCCGGCTTCCACTGTCAACCATTCGGAAGGGAATCTATGTAGGAAATTCTGGATAAAATGGGAGAACAATGTGGAATAAAACTCAAAATCATTAAAAAAGAAGAAAAAAAAGGGACCAGTTTTGCTTTGATAAAGCCTGATAGAACCCCTGAGACTATGGTCCCTAGCTGCCCTTCAGGTCTGGAATTGAACCCACTCCTGTGGTTTCCAGCCAAACAAAAGATAAGCATATAAGGTGAACATTTACATTAGGTAGATACACTCCCTGGAGAGATCAATCATGGGAGACTAGAAGGGCTGTGCATGCACAGGGAGACAGTTCAGGGGGCAGGAGTGCATGGGAGGGAAGGACACAGGGAAGAGGTAACTATGGGGAGGAAGTGGGAGAATAGCTGTTGCATTGTGGGAACCTGTAGTCAATGTCATGAGACAAAGTGTATGTGAGCTGCTGTATGGAAAGGGAATTTGCTCTGTAAACTCTCACCTAAAACACAATAAAAAAAGAAAGAAAGAAACTTAGAGGGCAGTGAGTTTATGCTAATGAGGGATGAACAACTCAGAAAAGGAGGGTAAGAACAAATGCTCAACTTGAAGAATATAATCAATGTCACTGAATTGTACATGAGGAGCTCTGGTGGCACAGTGGTTAAGACATTTGGCCATTAACCAAAAGGCTGGCAGTTTGAACCCATCAGCCACTCCATGGGAGAAAGATGAGGCAGTTTGCTTCTGTAAAGATTTACAGCCTTGGAAACCATATGGAACATGTCTACTCTGTCCTATAGGGTCGCTATGTGTTGGAATTGACTCAGTGGCAGTGGGTAGGAATTGTACATATAGAAATTGTTGAACTGATGTATGTTCTGTTGTGAATATTCTCAACAACAAAAATACAATATTTTTAAAAAATTAAGTTTTAGAATCTCTTTTCCCCTTTGTAGGAGTTCTGGTGGCACTGTGGTTAAAGCACTGGGCTGACAACCAAAAGGTTGATGGTTCGAACCCACTAGCCTCTCCACAGGAGAAAGATGAGGCAGTCTGCTTCCACAAAGATTTACAGCCTTGAAAACCCTATGGGGAAGTTTTACTCTGTCCTGTAAGGTTGCTATGAGTTGCTATCAGCTCTATGGCAGTGGGTTTGGTTTGTTTTTTCTCCCCCTTTGTGATAAACATAACTTTTGTAACTTGGAGACTGTGACAAAGAAATGTCACACGAGGCTTTTTCAATTCCTGACAAACATTAACAGTGGCCAGAGCTTTAATTTTATTATTGGGACTGTGAATGAAAGGAACTGATACAATAGTTCCGGTGGGCTATGACAGTGATGGCCAGCACTGATCTGAGAGAGGACTGAAAAAAAGATATTTATTACATGGAGAGAAGAAAAGTGTTACCTGCATCTGTCTTAAGGAACATATGAGCTCCCTTGAGTGAAGGGTAAACCAAAAACCAAACCCACTGGCATTGAGTCAATTCCAACTCATAGCAATCCCTACTGGGTTTCCGAGGTGGTAAATACTTAAGGAAGTAGATTGCCTCATCTCCTTCCGCAGAGTTGCTGGTGGGTTTCACCACCTTGTGGTTAGCGGTCAAATGCCTTAGGCATTGCACCACCAGAGCTTGAATAAAGAGTGCTGTTGTTGTTGTTATGTGTTGTTGTTGTTATGTGCCACAGAGTGGGATCCAACTCATAGCGACCCCTCCTTGGGTTTCTGAGGCAGTATCACTATGGAAGTAGATTGCCCCATCTTCCTTCTGAGGAGTGGCGGGTGGGCTTGAACCGCCAGCCTTCTGTTTAGCAGTCAAGTGCCTTAGGCACTATGCTACCAGAGCTCCCGAGTAAAGGGTAGGGATTGGCAAACTTTGGTAAAGAATCACAGTAAATATTTTGTCTTTGTGAGCCATAGTCTGTATTGGAAAGACAGACTAAATGGTTTATAAACTAATGGGTGTGGCCATGTTCTAATAAAACTTTACTTATAAAAACAAGTGGTAGGTCAGATTTGGCCTGTAGGTCATAGTTTGCTGACTTCTGGTACAAGACATTGCCTGTTCCTAGATGCAGCAGGGATACTATGGAGTCAATAAAATTCTTAAGATTCTCTAAGCTAGACTAGGCTATATCTTTTCTAGAACCCTCAGGAGCTGTAGGGGAAGATCCTGTACAATAAAGACATGACATGATGATGACAATGACAACGACAGCTACCCCATACTTCCTCAGATGGCACAGGCCACCCAATGGCAAACCCAAGGCCATGATAAAGGCAATTTCTGTTGAAGCCAAGAGTGGGTTTATAGTTACCCTATTCTAATGAATCTTCCTGTTGGGTTTAACTTGTACCAGGAAGGAGTCTACAGAAGGAAAAAAAAACAAATTCTGGCCACCAAGATTGAAATATTGGAGATGCTAAATCTCATCCCTTAAAGAATCTTCAAATTCGTATATAGGACTTGGTTGGGATTCAATACATACCAGATGTCTTTGGAGTTCCCAGCCAGCCCAAGGGTTCTACCATTACCAAATGATTCCTACTTTAAGCTTCCCACCTGCTATTCCCACTGGGACAGACACAGAAGGTCCTGGGACCTGTGGCTGGTACCTTCCCAGCATAGTGGATGATGGAGAACTCAGTCTTGTCTTTGAGCTGCTTGGGCTTCTGGAACTTGGGGTGGTTGCCCTGCTCCGTGCACAGCTTCTCCACAAAGGACTTGTCTGTGGCTTTGGGGAACCAGCACTCCTCATCCAGCAGGGCCAGCACACCTGGAGGGTTGTTCTGAGGAAGACAAGGTAGGCAGGGTCAGAAACAGGGCAGGATGACACTCAAGCCTCAGGCTCCCCAGGAAGAGCTGGCCACCACAAGAGACCAACACACAGCCATCCCCCTAGCTCCAGTATCATATTTGCCTACATAGAAAAAACAAACCAAACCACACGCACTACCATCAACAGCTTAATGCCCACCCCACCTCTCCAAACTAATCTATCCTCAGATTACCCTGTCTCTAATGAACCCTTCTTAGGGATGAAAGGGCAAGCACCAAACCAAAACCTGTTGTCGTCAAGTTGATTCCAATTCACAGCAACCCTATAGGATAGAGGAGAATTGCCCTATAGGGTTTCCAAGGTTGTAAATGTTTAAGCAGCCAGAATGCCACATCTTTCTCCCATGAAGCTGCTGGTGAGTTGGAACCACTGACCTTTCAGTTGGCAGCCGAGCAGTTAACCACTGCACTAGTAAGGCTCCTTGGGCAGGTACCAAGAGAACATAATCTTTGCTCCTGCCCCCTAGTGGGAAACAAATGCAACATAGCAAACATATTGCAGTTGTTACCAAGAAATTTGTTGCTTTACATTCACCTCAGGGTTCCTTTCAGTAAAATATTTCCTTGCAGCTTAAGCAATCCTAAACTAAGCTGTCTGGAGAGAATAGGCTTCACTTTTGGGACTCAGTTTAAATGTCCACAAATGTCTACACCTCAGACAAGCATTTCCTGACTGCCCTGTCCAAAGCAGGCCTCCTTCAATTATTCTCCACTTTGGCCTTATATGAAGTTTTAGTTGTTTGTCTGCTTGTATTATCTGTTCCTCCAGGAGGGTAGGGACCATGTCCAATTTGTTCATGGTTGCATTCTCAGCCTCTAAAGAGAACCTAGCACATAGTGGGTGCTCACTAAGTATGCATGCATTCAGCAATTATTCAATTGGAGCTCCTGTTCTAGGAATTTGGTATGCTTAGTGAACAAAACAAAGATCCCAACCTTTGGTAATGAATGAATGAGAGAGAGAGGAAGGGAAGGGAAGTAAAAGGAAAGAAAGGGAAAAGAAGGAAAAGTGAAAACAGAGGGAAGGGAGGGAAGAAGGAAGGAAAGAAAAGGAAGAAATGAAGAGAGAAAATACCTCTGATGTTAAAATGGGTGTGGTAGTTGTGTGTCAACTTGACTGGGCCTAGTTTTAAGTGGCTGTGAAGCTGAATATAATATTCTCCATGATGGGACTGGTAATCAACTCCATGGGGAATCTCCTGGAGCAGCTAAGTAGCTGCCTTAGGAACGTGCTCTGCTTCCAGTCTATAAGGAGAAGTTTTGAGAAAGGTCTCTGAGCTTTTGGCATATCTGGATCCTGCATTTGGCTGAGTCTTCATCTCAATGGCCTGCCATGTTGTCTACTGATCTTGGGATTGTTCATGGACTTGAATTAGTGGCCTCCTGTGTTGCTTGATAACGTTGGGGCTGTGCCTTTTTACTTGTCAACCTTGGATTTGCCAGCCTCAGCAGCCAGCAACTGTCTGAGTTAAGACAAGCCTCCAGCCTCAGTGGGCAAGGAGCAAGAGGCAGAGCTGAAGCCCAAGGTTGAGGGGCTTTCATCCAGCCCCTGGAACTGGCACTTTGAACTCGCACGTCTAGTCTCCTAAACTGTGAGAGAATAAACCCCTGTTTGTTCAAGCCACCGATATGTGGTATTTCTGTTACAGTGGCACTAGAGAACCAAAACAATGGGCTAATGGAAAGTATATTTTGCTAACAAAAATTCCGTGTGAACTTGAAGAATTAGAACCATTGTCTCATGGGATATCCTGGTCAATTGACATAATGTAGTTCATAAAATATAGTTCTACATCCTAATTTGCTGAGCAGTGTCTGAGGAATTAAAAGCTTGTGAGCAGCCATTTAAGACAAAATTATTGGTCTTTACTTGTCCAGAGCAAAAGAGAAAGAAGGAAACCAAAGACTCAAAGAAGAAACTAGTCTACAGGACAAATAATCTACAGGCCTCATCCATCCTGAGAACAGAATGGGATGGTGCCAAGCTACCACCACCAAACATTCAGATCAGGGCCACAAGAGATGGACCCTGAGAGAATGGGAGGAAAACATGGAACAGAACCTCAAATTTCTAAAACAAATAAACAAACATACCTAGACTTCCTGGACTGGTTGAGATTGGAGGACTCCCTGAGACTACTACCTTCAGATACTCTTCAAACCTTCAACCAAAACTAACCCTTGAGGTCACTTTGTAGCTAAATAGCATATTGGCTCAAAAATAATGATTATCACCTAAAAGTACTGGCTTCTTTCAACAATCACCTACATGAGATAAAACGGTCAACAATTACTTTAAAATAAAGGTGTGAATGAAGGGGTCAGGGAAACTAGATTAATGGAAACAGAACAGCCAGAATGGTAATAATGAAAATGGTTACATATTATGAAGAATGTCACCAATGCTACTGAACAAGTTGTGTAGAAATTGTTCAATAGGAACCTAAACTGTTGTGTAAACCTTCACTGAAACATATAAAATACTAATTTTAAAAAAAGTTCAGAGGGCAGCCTTTCAAGACATGGTGATGGGGAGAAGCCACATGCACATGACAGAGTGTGGGACCCTCAGATCATCTATATGAAGGCCGTGTACAAATATGATAATGAAAGGCACATAGCATGTATGTGTGCCTGCCCATGAAGGGACAGCCCCTCACCGGCCGCTCAATGAGTTCAATGCAGGGTTGTAGGTCCAGCCCAAAGTCAATGAAGTTCCACTCGATGCCCTCACGCTGGTACTCTTCCTGTTCCAGGATGAACATCGTATGGTTGAAGAGCTGCTGCAGCTTCTCATTGGTGTAGTTGATGCAGAGTTGCTCGAAGGAGTTCACCTACACACATGACACCGAGGGAGGCCAGGTGAGTCCCTTGTACAAAGTCATGGGGTTGTGGAGGCCCAAGAATGTGCCATCCTGGAGAGAACCCCATGCCTGTTGCCCTTTCCACAAGAGCCTGTTCTACGATTTCAGCACCCAGAGAGAGGACTTGGGCAGAGCAAATGCTGCCTAGGTTTCAGTGGGGCTGGTGAAATTCAGCTTTCTTTCATATGACTGGATTCCGATGTCATATGGTCCTTACACACATTGTTTTAAGAATGCTTATTCCTTCCATTTGCCCAATGACCTATGCCTTGAATACACCCAAGGTATGGTCCCATTGCTGTGGAGTTGATTTGACTCATAACAATCCCATAGGGCAAGTAGACAGCACTACTTCCAAGGTTGTAATCTTTACAGAAGCAGACTGCCACATCTTTCTCCCATGGAGTGGCTTGTGGGATCAAGCTGCTGACCTTTCAGTTAGCAGGCAAGTGCTTAACCAATGTGCTACCAGAGTTCCTCATGAGTATGTTATCACCTGCATTTTACAGATGTAGAAACTGAGATTCAGAAAGGGTGTGTAACTCTGTAGCAGTTATCTTTGGGGAAAGTTCTCAATCCCAAGACTTTCCATTTCTCTGAGAACTTCCCTCTATCCTATGAGGGTGGGATTCAGTAGCCATATTTAGATTACATGAAGTACTATAAGACCTGAAAACAGTGTTTGGCTCCGAGATGACCACATGGCTCAAGACAGAAGAATAAAAGTTAATGAGACTCAATTCTAAGATATTGGTTGGAACTGTTAAGAAAAAAGATGTGATGAGGCAAAAGCCTGCCTGAGAATGAGATCAATATGGAGGAAGGTGGCGAGAAAGACAACAGATGTCTGTTGAATCCACCTACCTCTGGCCATCTCACTTTAACAAACCAATATATTGTTACCTGTTGGGTTTCTGTCCCTTATTCCCTCGAGGGTGTAGCCTTAAAGAGTCAGCCTCCCACCCTGTTGGGGCTGCCTGCACTTTTCCAAAAATAACAATTTCTCCCAGGGGAAGCCTTGTCTAAGAAAACCAAAACCATGCTGTTATGATCCTGCTGAGCTGTACCTCAAAGATTTCAAATCCAGCAATGTCCAGGATGCCCAGAAACGAGGCCCCTTGCCGGTGAGTCTTGTCCAGGGCTTTGTTCACACGGGTGAGTATCCAGCGGAAAAGACGCTCATAAGTGGCCTTGGCCAAGGCCTCTACAGCAAAGTCAGCCTGCAGGGGAAGCAAGGGCAACACAGTTATTCTCATATGTTTTTACATGAGCCAGGTGATGGTACATATGGCTGCTAACCAGAAAGTCAGAGGTTCAAACCCTCCAGCCTCTCTGCAGAAGGAAGATGGGGCAATCTTCTTCCGTTAAGATTTACAGCCTCGGAAACCAATGGGGGTTGCCATGAGTCAGAATCAACTCAATGGCAATGAGTTTGGTTTTTTGGTTTTCTACCTATACTCTACCTTTAAAAACCAAACAAATAAAAAAAGAAAATTACATCATATCTACAAACAGTAGAAAAGTGGCAGCAAGCAATAGAGTGTCAGACCTAAGGAATGACTGTATGAATGCTGAACACTTCCTTTTGGAGGTATTATGGAATCTGTTCCATCTCAGGGATCATTCGGGGGTAGACAGTACTGTTTCTAGAAAGGATACATAATCATTTCCACAGATAAGTCTGTTAGGTCAGGCCTCATATCTATAACCAAGAAATCAAGGATATGAGTGAGTGACTCTGCTGTTCTTGCTGAGAACCTGACATGGGGCTTCAAATATTCTAGGTATTGGATGGATGGAGGGGTAAAGGGATGAATGTGTGGATGAAGAGAAAGATAGAGGGATAGAGGGATAAACATGTGAACAGATGGATGGATGGTGGATGCATGGGTGGACAGATGGATGAGTGGATGGATGGATGGATGATGGATGGATGGATGGATGGATGATGGATGGACAATTTTTCATGAATAAACAGAAAGTGCATCGTTACCTGTTCTTTTGTCTGAGCTTTCTGCACCACGTCCCTCCCAACTTTGATACGTGGGGTCAGGATGGATCTGGTGAAGTCTGTCACATTAATTCCCATGAGGTGGCAAACTTTCTGAGCAGCTGAATGGAGAAAAGAAGCCTCTTGAGTTCCTCATCAAAGACAAGATGTGGAATACCGCTAATATAGGAAGCTTTATCACATGGATATTTGTGCTCTGCATATACATTGGTTACTTTGGAGAAATGGAGTATGATGGTAGAACATAGTATGTAAGAGTCCTGCTGTAATTACTGAACTCATGCCTGATGTTTTGCTAAGAGGCAATGAATGGAAGGCATGTCCTAATTAGGTGATTAAGCTTAGACAGTTCTAGGTTCTAGTCCTTACTCCCTTTCTACTTCCTAGCCATGTGACTTTGAACAAGCTATTTAACCTCCCAGTGCCTTGCTTTTCTCAGCTTTAAAAAGGGGAAGCTATTTGCTACTTTGTTGGGTTGTGAATGGGACTAAATGAAGTAAGTGCTAGATACACAGTAACTAACTGTTCAATAAGTATTTGACCCTCTGTTCAAGAATATGTGTTGTAGAATTGTTTTTAACAGCAAGATACTGGAAACATCCTAAATGACCACTAATATGGGAGTGGCAAATACCATGTGGTATTTTTGTAAGATGGAATACCAAATAGCAGTTAAAAGAATGGTCTTTCTCTTTCTCTCTAGACCAATGGTTCTCAACAGGAATGATTTTTCTCCCCCAGGGGACAATGAGATACTCCATAAATCTTGAACCAAAACTACTCTGAGGACACCTTTTAACTAAATAACCACCTGGCTCATAACATAAAGAATATTACCAGTGAGTAATGAGCTTCTTTCTAAATTCATCTATATGGACTAAATGTCAACAAGTGCTCTACAGCAAAGATGAAAGGGACAGGGGACAGGGAAACCAAGATTATCGGAAACAAAACATTCAGAAAGGAATTAATGATAATGTTGACACACTGTGAAAAAACATAACCAGTGTCTCTGAACGATCTACATAGTATTGTTAAATGGGAACCTAACTTGCTTGTAAACTTCTACTGAAAACACAATAAAGCGTCATTTGAAAGAGGAATTACCCAGCCCCAAATGCCAGTTGTGCTGAGACTGAACAACTCTGATCTAGACAATGGTGAGCACTGAGAGAAAGGGTGAGTATTGAGAGAAAAAGGCAAGCTGAGGGACGTCTATAGTATGACACCATTTAGCAACTCTACATATGGTTTGTCTATGGAAATACATGTGGGTGAAAGTATAAAAGGTACACAATAAAGTACAACTGTTGTTGCTGGGAAGTGTGGGTGCAGAAAGGAGAATGGGACCCAGTTGGGAGGCCAAGGGGAACATCAATATTATCTGTACTGTGTTACTTCATTTTAAAGAAGAACAAATGTTCACAAACGTCAATTCTGGATAGTGGGTATCTGTTCTTGCTATATTATTGTGTGCACATTTCTGCATTTAAAACCCTTTTTCAAAACAAAGCCACAAACAAATTTACCACCAGCTGCTGCTTTAACACGAAGACTAATCTGGCATTATGGTTCCAACAAGTGAACTGGACAACAGACTGATTTTAAGATTTTTCCCTATCTTTTGCAAGGGTGCTTTTGTTTCTCTTTCCTTTGAAGGTCTCTCTTCAGAGTGTGCATTCCTTTCACTTAGCACATTTGGGGAGTGTAGCATATGTGCAACAGTTAACAGGTCTAACCGGCAGTGAGCCCTAGGCAGCTTGGAAAAGAAACATGATGGACAGCCCAGGGGCAGAGGTTGGCCACGCAGCAGTGGACAAGAACCAGGAAGGTTGAGAAGCTGTTAGCTTCTTCACCCAGCCACCAAGAAGCATAAGCTATCTTTTAAAAACACAACTTGTTTATTTATGGGTAGGGTTGTCAGTTTTAGGGGGAAAATCAGACTACAGAATACGCAGTTAAGTTTCTATTTAGATAAACAACAGTTTTCTAGTAAAATCAAAAGAAACCAAACTCACTGCCATCGAGTCAATTCTGACTCATAGCAACCACCTTAGGGTTTCCAAGGTGGTAAATCTTTATGGAAGTAGATTGCCCAGTCTTCCTTCTGTGGAGTGGCTGGTGGCTTTGAACCACCAGCTTTCTGGTTAGCATCAAATGCCTTAGGCACTATGCCACCAGAACTCCATAAAATTATGTCTAGTAAAATTGTATCTGAAACTCAAATTCTACTAAGGGTCTTGTATTTGATTAGGTAACCCTTTTTGTAAGGAAATTTGGGATCTGTCTCCCCATAATACCTGGCACATAGTAGATGCTCAAGAAATACTTGTTTAACATAACAGATGAGTGGGGAGTTTAGAATTGATGATTCCTAAGAACGTTGTATGTTTATCTCCTACCCTCTAATTCAAGAACATTCTATTCTACCCTGAGATCAGAAGAACTAGATGGTACCTGGCTATCGCTGCTGCACTCTAATCAGGGCCACAACAGACAAATCCTGATAAAGTGGGAGAAAAATGGAACAGAACCTCAATTCCTAAAAGAAACAAACATACCTCCTGGACTGGCTGAGGCTGGAAGACTCCCTGAGATTACTGCTCTGAGATACTCTTCAAACCATGAAACAAAATTAACCCCTGAGGTCACCTTGTGGCTAAATAACAAATTGGCTCAAAAAATAAGAATATGACCTGTAAGTACTGTGCTCCTTTAAAAAATTACCTATATGAGACTAAAAGGGCAACAATAACTTTAAAGCAAAGATGAGAACATAAGAGGGCAGGGAAACTAAATGAATGGAAACAAAACAACCAGCATGGAAATAATGACAATGTCCACACACTGTGAAGAACTTAAACAATGTCAATGAACAACTTGCATAGAATTTGTTGAATGGGGACTGAAACCGCTGTGTAAACCTTCTTCAAAAACACAGTAAAACATTAAAAAAAAAAAAAGAACATCCCACTCTAGGGTCTTCTACAAGAACATATTTGAAAGAAAGAGAGAAGTCAGTGATTATAACTCAGTCCAGCTCTTATGGGGATACCCTCATCCAGAAAAATGGTTAAAACTGGATAGTGACACTCGCTCCCAACCCCAAAGTCAGTTATTGGGAAAAGGTAGCCAGTACCTGTGTTATCTGGCATAGATGCCTGGTCTGTGTTTCTTTCCTTCTTGAAGACAATATTTCCAAGCTGCAGGACAGATGACACCACCCTCAATATGGCTGAAATGGGGAGAGAAGAGCAGACAAGACCCAGGCATCAATACCAATGCATCTGAAGATCTGGAGTCTTAACAGTCATTGGAGACCTACAGCCATCCCATGTCTTTCCCCTGAAGAGACTCATCCCTGAACTCCTGAGCCTAGCAGAAAACAAAACCACCCCAACTCCCTGCTATCAGAGAAAAAAACGGTCAGAGGAAAGCTGGGTATTTTCAGATAATGTTTAAAAACTTTGTGCTACAATGGAGCACTATATAGCAGAAACTAGCAAACTACAGCCAATGAACCAAATTCAGCCTCCCACTTGCTTTTGTAAATAAAACTTTATTGGAACAGTCACACTCATTCATTTACATATTTTAATGGTTGTTTGAGTGCTACATCAACAGAACTGAACAGCTGCAACAGAGATTGTATGACCCACAAAAGCTAAAGTACTTACTTTTTGGCCCTTTATAGAAAAAGTTTGTTAACCCCTGCTACACAGGAATGGGAAGGAATTATCTACAGCTACAAACAATAAAATTGTTGTACCTCATAAACATGAAAGCTATGCAAACAAGAACATAGTGTATAAATCCATTTATAGAGAGTCCAAGAAAAGGCAAAATTGACCTATGCTGTTAGAAGTTGGCAAAGTAGTCATCTTTGATTGGGGGAAGTGCTTGGAAGGGCACAAGGGAGCTCTAGGGGGCTGGTGGTGTCCTTGTACTTAAAGTGAATGCTAGTTACACAGGTATATTTAGTTTGTGAAAATTCATAGAGTAGTATACTTACAAGACACACTTCTCTAAAGGTAAAGTGTATGTCAATGAAAGGTTTCTTGCTTTTTAAAACAAAACCCCAAAACTCTGTGCTTATTAATATGCCCTGGCTGGGTGTGCAAAATGTCCATCTTAGGATAAAGAAGGGGAAATTTTTTTTCCATCCTTTGTCCAGGTATCTCCAGGCAACAATCCTCTGTTCCCAGAACCCTTGGAACTCTTCTGACTCCATACTCAGCCCATGTTACTATTAAAATAATTTGTGTGTCTGAAATCCCCACCAGACCATGAGTTTCTGGACAGTCAAAAGACCTGCCCTAATCATTTTGCATTCCCAGGGACCCCTATTCCAGATACACATGGGGAGGGAAAAAGGGATGGATAACAGATGGATGGACGACAGATGGATGGATGAAGAATGGATGATGGATGGATGGTAGATGGATGGATGATGGATGGAAGGATGAATTGATGGATAATGGACAGATGATGAATTAATGCAAACACTTGGCTTTAGCTTAACTCAGGTTAATCACCTGGAGTTCTGGATTCCAAGAAGAAATCACCACGTTCCAGGAACAAAGGCTAGAGATCTCAGCCTCCTCTGGTTGCTCAGGTGAAACTGGGGTGACAAAGCCCTGCACAGCAGTTCTCCTCATAACTTAGGGTCCCTGGTCAGGTAACTGTTGTTTAGCAATACCTGTGGCATCTACCCACTAGATGCTGGTAGCATCCCCCCTTCAGTTGTAGCAACCAAAAATATCTCCAGATGTCATCACATGTCCCTTGGGGGAAAAACTCACTCAAGTTGATAAGTACCCATCTAAATGAACAAAGCAGGCTGGTGGGGGCTATGAGGACCTGGCATAAAGAGGCCTGGGACAGTAGATACTAAAGAGTAGTAGACACTGTACTGCTGAGAAATATGAACCAGAGTTTCCCAAAGTATGGCTCATGTACCACCCAGTATGCAGGTGGACAATTTCAGGTGGTATATGGAATTTTTTTTTTTTAATTACAATAGTTATTTATTCTAGAAACCGTAAAGCCAGAGGATAAGATTGGTGATTTGGCAGAACTGGGTGTTTGGATCAAAGCTAGAGTGGACAAGGCTCTGGAAGTCTCCCTTGCACATAAAAATACTAAGCCGACAATAAGACAGATGCAGCCCGGAAGTGGCACAGTTGTGAATGAGTGAAGCCTGGGAAATGGATCTAGAGAATCCCTAGGAGGGTTCATTAAAAATGTGCCCTTGGCCATATGCCAAGTGCTTGATGTTAGGTGGTTGATATTAGGCGCCTCTTCTTCAGAAGGGTCTTCAGATGGGAGAGTTGAATGGCAGTGAGGAATCCGTGCAGAGGGAACTTGATGGTTGAATGCATGGGTGCTGGAACCAGACTACCTGGGTTCAAATCCCAGACCTGCTTTTAGCCGCTGTGTGACCTCAAGTACAGTAGTAGCCTCTCTGGGCCTCCATTTTATCATCTGAACTAGTTGCTGTCAAGTGGACTCCAATTCATGGCAGCTCCATGTGGGTCAGAGTAGAGGTGCTCTAGGGGGTTTTCAATAGCTGAGCACAGGGAAGTAGATCACCAGGCTTTTCTTCAGAGGCACCTCTGAGTAGAATTAAGCATCCAGTCTTTCCATTAGCACCCAAGCACATTAAGCAAGCAGATTCAAGTTCACCCAGAGACACCGCAGAATAAAGGCATGGTGACCTACTCCAAAAAATTAGGAATTGAAAATGGTATGGAGGTCAATTCTACTCATACACATGGGGTCACTGACTCAAAGCCCGTGAAAACATCTACCTCACAGGGTCATGGTGTGAGTACTAAATGACAAAGTGCCTGAAAAATGCCTGACCGTGTAGCTGGCACATAGCTGGTGCTCAATAAACATTAAAAAAAAAACCATTACTGACTCATTGTGACCCTGTAGAACAGAGTAGAACTGCCCCCCAGGGTTTCTAAGGCTGTAATCTTTTGGAGCTCTGGTAGCATAGTGGCTAAGGCACTTGACTGCTAACCAGAACACTGGCGATTCAAACCCACAAGCCACTGCTTGAAAGGAAGATGGGGCAATCTACTTCCGTAGTGATATTGCCTTGGAAACCCAACGAGGGGTCACTATAAGTCGGGTCCGACTCCATGGCACATAACAATGACAACAATCTTTATGGAAGCTGACTGCCATGTATTTTTCCTGTGGAGCAGCTGGTGGGTTCAGACCTCCAACCTTTCAGTTAGCACCTGAGTGCTCAACCTTAGGCCACCAGGACTCCTTCATTAAACATTAGCTGCTATTATAACACAGCTATGACTCAGCCTCTCAGAGCTCCAAGAAACAGGGCTGGCTTGATAGCCTGTGAGTTCCCTTCTGGCTATTGCTCTCTTGGAATCTGATGGCTGGGCAGTTGCTTCACACGTACAAATAGAATCCAATGCAGCAGAGAAAATTCGGCCTCTTCTGGTCACTTAGGGTCCCTGGAGCTCCAGGGCTTAAATCCTGATTTATCCCTTCTCCTCCAGGCTTTCCATGGAGGGTTTGGGTGGGCCCTGGATTTATAACCAGGGTTGGGAAACATACCAGTCTAAGTCCACATCCTGTGGTCATCAGTCATTGGCACACATCATCTTAATGTTTGTTCACTCTGCGTACCATCTGTTCTGTTATTTATGTAAATTTTTTTCTTTGAATGTACTCACTACTCTTTCTATAAATTTGTTTTAATAGGAAACTCTTTTTCTCTCTTACATGAAAAATCAGTTTCACTTGCCTTAAATAGATGGCAACTATAAAAATAAATACAAGAAAAACAAACAGTATTATCAAATTCTAGCAGGATACTGGGGACCGTCCATGGTGCTGGCCCTGGCTTCTTCCTGCTCTCAGTGGTTAGAAGGAAGATCAGCAAACACCAGAGAGGAACTGAAGACCTACTAAGTACCAAACTGCTGCTCTCTGAAAAGCATCAGGCCTGGGTAGGGTTGGAGAAGAGAATGATGTCTCACAGTGGCCTGCATGTTGTTATCAACCAGCAGTGTGTCTATATTTTAGAATATATTGAGCTCGTTCTAGTCTCCATTTCCATATCTGAGCCCTGACAAGTTTTTGCTTTGTTGACGTTGGCTGCCATTGAGTTGACCTTGGACTCATGGTGGCCCAGACACAAAAGAATGAAACGCTGCCCAGTCCTGCACCATCCCCACAACGGGCTGGGATCAGACAGTTGTGGTCCACAGGGTTTCCACTGATTGATTCTCAGCAGTAGATCTCCGGGCCTTTCTTCCTCACCCGTCTTAACCTAGTAGCTCTGCTGAAAACTACTCATCATCACAGCAGCACACAAGTCTCCACTGACAGCTGGGTGGTGGCCACTCAGGAGGTACACTGGCCAGGAATCGAACCTGGGTCCCCCACATGGAAGGCGAGAATTCTATCACAGAATCCCCACTGCATCATTAACACAGATTTTTAAAAAAGCTGAAAGGACAAAAACCACTTGCCCACAAACCAAAAGAGAGTACAGTAAATCCCAGCACGGGGGTCAGGAGTCCACGAGACCCGAGAGCCAGTCTCAGCTCCAACAGCAAATTGCTGTGTGTCTTTTGGCAAGTGTCCTTCACTTCTCTGTGCCTCAGCCTCCTCATGTACAAACTGGCAATAACAACAGCAACCACATCAGGTTGTTGTAACATTAAATAATGCATATAAGGTACTTAAAATACTGCTTTGCCATCTGATGTCTTCATTTTAAATATGTTCTGAGCATTTTCCATGTTTTTCTAAAACATAATTTTAATAGCTTCATAGTTTTCTTTCATAAGACAATAATTTAATAAACCCTCTATTGATCATCATTTTAGTTGGTTCCAGTTTTATACTACTGAAATAAAATGGCACTGATCATCCTGCACATTAAAAAAACAATAATAATAAACAGATTTAGCAAACACTTGGCCTAGCACTCAGTGGTAGTTCAGTGGCAGAATGCTTGTTCTCGACGCAAGAGACTCGGGTTCGGTTTCCAGCCTAGCACCTCGTGCACAGCCATCAGCTGCCTGTCAGTGAGTTAGGGGCCAACTTGTTGGAAGCTAACAACAAATAACAAATGGCCCAGATCAAGTACTTAGTCTTCTTCTTCTTTTTTTTTTTTATTTTGAAGCAAAACTGACCCTGAATCCCTGAACTTCTCAGTTCTATGAGTGAATAATTTGCTTAAGCCAATTTCTGTCCCCAAAATAATGAATCATCCTTGGGAGCCTGTGTGATTTGGTAAAACTGGATTGTGATGCAGGACCCTGGCCAGAGCCCACAAATGCCATCCATTTGTCCGCTGACCCACAGAGCCTTCCTCTGTTGAGCGCTGAGTTATCTTGGGAGGCGCTGCCCCTCCCCTGCACTGCATCTCGGCAACTTAGTGCTGTTCTGTGCCCCAAAGAGTCCTGGGCATGGGAAGGAAGGAAATGTTCCACAATCTTGTCCCAGTGCTGCCAAAAGGAATTAACCTTAGCCACAGGGCACATCACTCAGAAGGAAACATGCTTCTTTTTCTTTCTTTTTTTGTTCATATAATACTTATTTTGAAGCTCTATTCTTTATCCCTTTAGATAGTTGCTTAAACAGTTTTAAAATTACATGTTTGGAAAACTGAAAAGATTTTAAAAGAAAATTGGTATTCCACTAGTGACTTATTAATATTTTGGCATATATCCTCCAAGACAATTTTCTTACGTAAATTTATTTATTATAAAGGGGTCATAATAGTGATACCTATTTATAGGAAACATTTTTTTGAAGCAGTGTTGAGACTGTGAACACATTTCTGAGCCATCCTGTCCTCAGGACCAAATGTCTTTCTTGGTCATTGATTGCTGATATCAATGAATACCTATCATCACAGCTGCCTTGCTAGAAAGACCCCACACAAACTTGCTGCATCAATCACTTCCTCTCCACCATCCTGTTTTGTGGGAAATGCCTCTGCCCACATGTTCCTAATGAGCCCATTCCAGCTCCAAGAATGGAACAAGCTATTCCATCTTTCACTCCCCTGCCTACGATGAGTATCTCAGGAATGTGTACACCAACCTAGGCTGACGAATCAGAAACAATGAAACTCCATTAAGAGACTCAATCAGGGAGTCCACTCTGCTCTTTTCTGCTGGACTTCAGCACAAGGATGTAAGGGCTGAAGCCACCACAGCTATTTTGCTGCCAGGAAATCATAGTCTACCTAGAGACAAGGTTGCTGAGAGACAGAGGGAGAGAAACCAGTCTGGAGATATCTTCTGAGCCCCTAGAACCCGCTGTGCCTGAAACTAGAATCCCTGAACTTTTCAGTTCTATGAGTGAGTCATTTGCTTAAGCCAATTTGGTAATTATAACTCTGGTAATATTTGGTAATAAGAACCCTGGCTTATACAGTCACTTTTCTAAAACACCACCAAGAGAAATATTCTTTTTGAGGAGCCAGGGAATTCAGAGGACAGAGATCTGTCCTGACCAGAGACAAGTCCCTCAGATTCCAGTGGGCAGAAATCCAGGTCTCCTTGCTACCCCCAGACCCAAGGTGTGAAGACTTACACAATTGCTCCTCTTCACTGAAGCCCATGATGGCCATAGCCTCCAAGGTTTCCTGGAACATGTCGTCATCCTGGGCAGCTGGGATGGGCACATAGCCATTGGAGAGGAAGGTGTAGTTGCTGAAGCCCTCCAAAAGCAAGTCGTCTAGAAGGAGGGGAAGATGGGACAGTGGTCAGGGGACGTACTTCCACTGCTAACATAAGTCAGGGGGCTGGTGAAGAGTGTGGGCCATCCTGATGCCTTTCTCTTTCCCACAAAGGCTCAGACAATTTGAAGCCCTCCTCCACCATCATGGTGTGGATGGCCGGCTGCACCCAGCCTGCTACACAATGGTGGGGGCTGAGCGCTGCTCCAGGGCTCCTGGCAGCCCAAATTCCGCCTTGGCTCTGCTTGTTAAGCCCCAAGCCTCGCACAGGGTGCCATCTACCTGCAGGAAGGGGAGCCTTTATCTTGACTGCCCAAAGGCACTCTGCCTTCAGGATCAAAGCTGTCTGAAGAATTACCTTCATCTTTATTTATCCATTTACTAAATTTTCGTCAAAATCATACACACACATGATTTTTAAAAATCAATTACAGGTTGTTCCTGAATTACAACATATTCAAGTTACGATGAATCACACTTATAACCGTCTGTTGCCTAAGGCATTTGACTGCTAACCAGAATGCTAGAGGTTTAAACCCACCAGTCAACCCCAGGAAGGAAGATTGGGCAATCTACCTCTGTAGTGATACCACCTCAGAAACCCAAGGAGGGTTGAGTCAGATCTGACTCGACTACAGTGAGTTTAGTTTGGTTTTATCATTAGTCATGTGTACTGTATATAATGTTGCAGTGTGTAATTTGCTGATGTCATCACATCTGTAAGTTTATATGTAGTATTTCCAATTCCCCAAAGACAAATAAAGATTGGACTTTTAAAAATATTGGTAATAAAAGGCAATAATAATGAAAATTAAAAAAAAAAACTGAGATATTTGACTCATGTCAGAACTGACTTATGACAGTCTTTGGAACCGAACCCCATGGTATGTTGGGAACTTATACTACCAAAAGTTTTATAATGAAAAACACCACTCCTCTGTCCCTCTTTTCTTCCAAGTCTTACCCTACTCTGTAACAACTGCTTTTTATCAGTTTTAGCTGTTTCTTCTGGTAGTTACCACCATCTCTCTATCAAAAGACTTATCTTGTTATTTCTGGATATGCCACATTTAGATAGTATCTACTGACTTCCTGCGAGAGTGGAAGATTTATTTGTCTCATACTACCTGCCCACTCCAATTACCTCTAGTTGACTCAATAGACAGGGTTTATATTAAAAAAAAGCAAAAACCAAACTCACTGCCATCAAGTTGGTTCCAACTTATAACGATCCCCATTGGGTTTCCAAGGTGGAAAATCTTTACAGAAATAGATTGCCCCATCTTCCTTCCATGGAGTGGCTGGTGGGTTTGAAATGCCACCAACCTTCTGGTTAGCAGTGAAATGCCTTAGGCACTACACCACCAGAGCTAAATCTGGCCCGCTCGTTGTTTTTGTAAATAAAGTTTTATTGGAACTCAGCCACTTCCATTTCTCTTCCTATTATCACTGGCTGCTTTCTTGCCACAACAAGAGTTGAGTAGCTGTGACAGAAACCATATGGTCCACAAGGCCTAAAAGATTTACCATCTAGCCCTTTACAGAAAAATATTTGCCAACCCCTCATTTATATTTTTACATCTATTAAATATTGTTTTCTGTAGAGTCACATTCTGGATGAGAGTCCCTTTGTTGTTGTTTAATCCTCTTTTCCCAAAAAAAAGATTTTTTTCTTGTACTACTTGCTGTCACATCCTCCAACATATCAAACATCTCCCAGACCAATCTTAATTACAGTGGATTTGCTTTTCTTTTTAAACAAAGGTCTTTTTTGGGTCAAGTCACTTAAATTGGAGGTTAAATTGGCCCAAGACATCAATTAACTCAAACCCTTGGAGTACCTCAAGGGCCTGATTAAAAAAAAAAATTAAAAATCACAAGGATTTGGATCTTTGCCAAGACTTCATTATCCCACGTGAGGATGACTATAAAACTCACTGCCATCAAGTCAATTCCAGCTCATAGCAACCCTCATAGGGTTTCCAAGGCCATAAATCTTTACAGAGGCAGACTGCCTCATTTCTCTTCTGTGGAGCAGCCAGTGGGTTCAAAGCGCTGACCTTTCGGTTAGCCACACGATGCTTCAACCACAGCACCACCAGACCTCCGTATGGATAAACACAGAAATACTCAATTCTTTCCAAAAGCTTCTCTTCCCAGACCTATCATCCGTAACCCCAATGGCCCCAGCACTTTTAGTTGCATACCTTATACTTGCCCAGTGTCCGGGAGAATAAGGTAAAGGCCAGAGACAAAGAACCAACATGGAAACAAGTTGCCAAACAACCCAACTGTTGACTTTGGTGCCAAAACAGAGGGAGAAAGGATATAAACGTTTCTCCCTTGGCCACCCCATAGTGTCTTGATTGATCACGTTTGCCAATGTGTAACATCCATTCAATATCCCTTCCCCTCTAATTCATACCCTTCACAAAACCAAGCAGCAAGGAGAATAAATGGAGGATTTCTTCCTTTAGTGGCAGAGCCCTGAAATAACCTCATCACAACAGAGGTGCGAGTTTTTAGCGCATCCTTTTGTTAATTTTTTTTTACCTAACATAAATTGTGAGGAGCTCTGGTGGCATAGTGCCTAAGCATTTGACTGCTAACCAGAAGGTTGGTGGTTCAAATCCACCAACCACTCAGTGGAAAGAAGACTGGGCAATCTACTTCCATAAAGATTTACTGCCTCAGAAACACAAAGGGGGTTGCTATGAGTGAGAATCTATTCAACGGCAGTGAGTTTGGTTTGGCTTGGAACATCAATGCTTACCCCGGGCCACAGAATTGATGGGAATCAAAATTAGGATTATTCTTATAAAATTTTAGATCTAAACTTATTACTAGAATGATCCCACTATGGGGTTGCCAAGGGATAAACGTATATATCCCTTCTCCCTCTGTTTGGCACCAAGTCAACAGTTTGGTTATTTGACAACTTGGGTTCCAGTTTGGTTCTTTGTCTCTGGCCTTTACCTTACTCTCCTGGACATTGGGCAAGGATAAGGTATGCAACTAAAAGTGCTGGGGTCATTGGGGTATGTATCCACTGACATGTATCCACTGACATATTCCTTCTTATGATTTTTATATTCTTTTAAGAGTGAATAGATTACTATTGCATATCAAGAACTTTGAATTTCCACTGGAATCTGGTTGCACTATATTGTATTCAAATGAGAAAACACTGCTTCAGCTACAACAGGGATTGACAAAATATGGCCCACCACTTATTTTTGTAAATACAGCTCTACTGGAACACAGCTCCACTCCTTCATTGGGCTCCACTTATAGAATTGGCCATGGTTGCTTTTGTGTTAGAAAGACAGAGTTACTTGTGGTAGGATTGTTGGCTCACAACAGTGAAAATATGTACTCCCTTGCCCTCTACACAAAACGTTTACTGACCCCTGTCCTATACAAATCCACTTAAAGATCATTTTCAAAACATATATAATGAAAATGACTTTGTTTGCCCCCTTCAATTTCTTACAAAATTGTAATATACCTTACATACTTCGAAGGTTTATAAATTAGCAAATATGGCACTTGTCTTCCTCCCAGGAAGGCACAGACTGTGTCTAATTGGACTTGATGCCTCTTCTACATGCCAGTAACATAGTAGGTGATTAGCAAATGAGAATGTCTAAACCAAAGCCATGCTCACTCACCAGAAGATGATGAGGAGTGGAACATCCTCACCCAAAGACACAGTTCTTCTTCCTGCAGAATCTGTTTTCATACTACTCTCTTAACCCCTAATCATGATGAAAGGGATGGCTGAAGCCTCCACTCATCACTGCCACCCACTTACTTTTCATCTTCTCCTTGGCACCAGCGATCATGTAGTAAAAGATGTGGAATGTCCGCTCATCTCTGGCTTGGCGAATCGCACGTGACTTTTCTAGCAGGTCTGGTTGGGGGAAGTTAAAGATTCTGGGACAGGCAGTGGTGGTTCAGTGGTAGCATTCCCTCCCTCCATATGGGATACCCACATATCCCATATATTGAACTTGGAGACCCACATTCGATTCTCAGCCAATGTAATGCATTTACAGGCACCACCCACCTCCGTGGAGGCTTGCAGGCTGCTGTGATGCTAAACAGGCTTCACTGCAGCTTCCAGACAAAGACGGGCTAGGAAGAAAGGCCTGGCCATCTACTTCCAAAAAACCAACCATTGCAAACTCTGTGGAGCACAGTTCTGCTCTGACTCTCATGGAGTCACCATGAGTCAAGTAAACGCAAAGGCAATTGGTGAAGGTGTAATATGGTATAAGAAGACCTCAGGATGAAGGGCTGTGGCAGAGAATGGTAAGAAGATATGTCCCCATCAACCATCACAAGTCTTCTTTTTAGGATGAGCTGTCCTTGGACATCACAGAGCAAAACTAAGTCCATCCTGTACCACTGATAAGTTCCTGTACTAAAAGCACTCAGTAAGCCTCACATGCTATCTATTTTGGTTCTCTCGTGCTGCTGTAATAGAAAATACCACAAGTGGATGGCTTTAACTAACAGGGATTTATTCTCTTACAGTTTTGGAGGCTAGAAGTTCAAGTTCAAAGTGCCAGCTCTAGGGGATGGGTGAAGGCCCCTCAACCTTGGGCTTCAGCTCTACCTCTTGCTCCTGGCCCACTGGACCTGGAGGCTTTGCTTAACTCAGGCAGCTGCTGGCTGCTGAGCTGACAAACCCAAGGTTGACAAGGAAAATGGCACAGTTCAAAGATATCAATCAACATGGCAGACCACTAATTCAAGTTCAGAAACAGTCTCACGATCAGCAGACAACATGGCAGGCCACTGAGATGAAGACTTGGCTAAATGCAGGATCCACATGTGCTGAGAAGTTCAAGACCTTTCTTAATGCTTCTTCTCAAAGCAGACCACATCCTAAGGCAGCTACTCAGCGGCTCACAGCAGATTCCACCATGGAGTCGATTACCAGTCTCATCATGGGGAATAACTACATCCAGCTGCCCAGCCACTCAAAATCAGGCCCAGCCAAGTTGACACATAACCTTAACTACCACCCTATCCTGTTGTTGTTGTTATGTGCCGTCGAGTCGGCCCCGACTCATAGCGACCCCTCCTTGGGTTTCCGAGGCAGTATCACTACGGAAGTAGGATTGCCCAACCTTCCTTCCGAGGAGTGGCTGGTGGGTTTGAACCACCAGCTGTCTGGTTAGCAGGCAAGTATCTTAGCCACTATGCTACCAGAGCTCCCCACCCTATCCTAGCAAGTGCAAATATTACCCACATTTTCAGTATAGAGAAACTGAGGATGAGAGAGGTAGAATCACTTTCTAAGGCCACAGCTAAGAACTGGCAAAGCCAAGTGTCTGTAGTGGTCGTCCATGGCCAAGGGCTGGGCTTCATGAGAGTGAGTGATCTTGACCTAGTCAGCTAACCTCTCCAGGGTTCAGCCTCTGCACCTGTGTAAGGAGAACACACATCTCTGTGTTGCCTCCTCAAAAGGAAAGTCTGAACACAAGGGTTTTAGATTTTAAAGATGACTACACAAGAATTCTATACTCAAGAAAATTGCCATTGATGTGACTGGGCAAGGGAGGACATTTCAGATTTGCAAGGGCTCTGAGTATGCCATCAATGTACCCTTCCTGAGGGAAAAAAAAAAAAAAAGCTACTTAAATACATATCCTGGGAAGGCAATCAAGAGTTAAAACAAAGTAATGAAGTAGTGTCTAGGGTCTTACAAGCTTCTGCGTGGCCATCTAAGATACATCTATTGGTCTCTACTCATCCAGAGGAAAAGAGAAAGAAGGAAACCAAAGACTCAAAGAAAAACAAACTACTCTAGAGGACCAAAGCCTCATCTATCCTGAGGCCAGAAGAACCTGGATGGTGCCCAGTTACCACCACCAACCACTGGAATCAGGGCCACAATAGACAGACCCTGATAGAATAGGAAGAAAATGTGGAAGAGAACTTCAAACTCATAAAAATTCAAACCAAACAACAACAATAATAAAGATTTACTGGACTGGTTGAGAGTGGAAGACTCCCTGAGACTTTCACTCTGAGATACTCTTCAAACCTTGAACTGAAACCAATCTCTCAGGATATCTTGTAAAAAATAATAATCACAAACACATGAACAGAAAACCATAGAAAATTTTAGAAAGATATTTTCTGTTAAAGTAATAAAACTATTTGAGTATCAAAATAAAAGTCGGGCTGTGATAGGACTGTAGGGAAAGGACTATAAAGACGCTTGTGCTCCAATTAATCTAAGGAGGGCTGGTCTGCCATGGGAGGGGGTAGAAAGCATCCTTTAGGGGCTAGTGGGAAAGGAGGGGAAAGACAGGTCACTGGCTGGACTGGTGCAAAGGGGACTTGCTCACAGCAGCATGATGTTGCAAAATGGTCACACAGGCCTCCTGTGCCCAGATGGGTTGGCAGGTGTCATCTCTGCTGAGTCCTAACACTGGCTAGCACTCTCTTACTGCCCTAGTCCTCTTTCAACCATGGAAGCAGGGGCATCCATATCATCTGGCTGTTGTTGTTGTTAGTTGACTTTGAGTCGATTCCAACTCATGGTGACTCCATGTGTTACAGAAAAGAACTGATTCATAGGCTTTTCAAGGCTCTGACCTCTTGGAAGTAGACTGCCAGATCTATCTTCCATGGTACCACTGGGTATGTTTGAACTGCCAACCTTTAGGTTAGCTTTGAAGCATGAAGTGTCTGCACCACCTAGGAGCCTGCATCGTCTGGAGGGCTTGTTATAACACAAGTGCTGGGCTCCACCTCCAGGAGACCTGGCTGGCAGTTCAAATCTACCAGCTGTTCAGCAAAGGAAAGATGAGGCAATCTGCTTCCATAAAGATTTACAGCCGTGGAAATCCTAAGGGACAGTTCTACTCTGTCCTATAGGGCCGCTATCAGTCAGAATTGACTCAATGGCAGTGAGTTTGGTTGGTTTAATGGTGCATATAGGGAGCCCTGGTAATGCAGTGGTTAAGTGCTTGGCTACGGAATGAAAGGTTGGTGGTTCTAATCTACCAGCCACTCTGCGGGAGAAAGATGTGGAAGTCTGCTTTCTTAAATATTACAGCCTTGAAACCCTTACAGGACAGCTCTACTCTGTCCCTACAGGGTTACTATTATTTGTAACTAGATGGCAATGGGTTATGGTATATATATATTTGATTAATATCATATAATACCTACAGTGGATCTGGGGAAGCCCGTTAATACTCTTGTAGCAAAATATGAATAATCTCCTAATAGGACTAAAGGGACAGACAGGGTGTTTCGGTGGTAGAATTCTCAGCGTCCAGGCAGGGACTCAGCATTGATTCCTGGCGAATGCACCTCATGCGGAGCCAGCGCCCGTCCATCACTGGAGGCCGGCATGTTGCTATCAGGCTGAACAGTCCTCAGTGGTGCTTTCGGACGAAGGAAGACCTGAGGGAAAGGCCTGGGAATCTACCATTTAAAACTCAACAAAGGAAAATACTACAGAGCACTGTTCTACTTTGACACACAGAGGGCGTTGCCATGAGTTAGAACCACGGGTGATGAAGATACAACAGCTAACGACTTAACCAATCCTATCCTATCCCATGCACAGTGTTAAGAGCTTTACATGAATTCATTCAATTCACCCTTACAACTCTGCAAGGTACTATATCATCCCTGTATCACAATGAGAGAGGTTAAATAACTGGCCCAAGATCAATCAGTTAGGAAGAGGCCAATGCAGGATCAAATCCAAGCTGTTTGGGGTTCAAACAAGGAGTTTACATTTGTGTATCCACAGCCCTACAATGCCCATTAGGGGAAGGTTGTGAAGATTGTTCTGGAAAGAAGCCAAGAGTCAGGGGGAGAAGGGCAACTTCTGTGCCAGCTGCCTTGCCTCTTTTGGGCATTCTCATCCTCTGGGCAGGAGGTTAGTGGAGGAGGTCCCACATGGCCCACACTGGGCCAAAGGATACAGGTCTCGATGTTGGCTCCCACGATGTAACCAGTGACGTCGAAGTTGATGCGGATGAATTTGCCCTGCCAACAGGAACACACAGGTCACTGTCTGCTGCCTGACCTCAGCCCCCTTAGCCCTATGCTGCAAGCCAGTGGGGAGGGAGACATCAGGAGACATTCAGGAGAAAGAATAAAAGGTTCTTGCCATCATTCTGAGCCTCATGGGTCAGCGTGTCAGAAAAATTCACCAACTGCTGAGCTGGGACAAGCCAAGGGAGTAACTTATAGGCACATTGACAAACATGACTCCATTCAGTGTTGGCTCTCACAGTGACTCTACATCATGGCTATCCATTGTAAGGGTGGGAAAACTGAGGCTGAATGACATAGAGTGGCTTGCCCAAGGTGACACTGCTCCTAAGAGGTAGAACCATAAGTAAAAGCATGATTCCAAACCACCACATGGCTGGAGGGCTCCCTCCTTCAGCCCACTTCATTCAGAAACATGCTGCCCCTCTCCCAACCATCAGGCTCAAACACATCCATTGTTGACAGAAACTCCTCCTTGGGACAGTTGATACACATTGTCCCACCAGGCCCTGCATAGCAGGCTCTACAGGCAGGACTGGGCCACACCCCAGCCCTGGTGGTTGTCAGGTATCTCCACTCACAGAGGATGGTCCAGTTCATCTGCCTCTGCCTCAACAGAATAAAAAATCTAAGGACAGGGCCAGTCCTGGATCTAGTTGCAGCAGCCTTTTTCCTACTTCTCAATAACTGACAAAATCTGGCATCCTTCTTTCCCTCTGATGAGCTAATAAAAAAATAAAAGAAAATGATGCATGTGAAAATGTCTACCAGAATGACTGTACACAGTAGGTGCTTCACATTTGTTGAAGGTGGAGCTCTGGTAGCATAGGGCCTAAGGCACCTGACTGCTAACTAGAAGACTGGTGGTTCAAACTCACCAGCCGCTCCTCGGAAGGAAGGTTGGGCAATCTACTTCCGTAGTGATACTGCCTCGGAAACCCACGGAGGGGTCTAACTCGAGGGCACATAACAACAACAACATTTGTTGAAGGATATATGTGCCTCATATGTAATAAGTGCACATTTCATATTCTGCTGAATAAATGAGTATTGGATGCAAGTGTCTAGCACGTATTAACAGCTAGACACACACTTGAGTCGATTCTGACTCATTGCAACTTCACCTGTATCAGAGTAGAACTGCACTCCATGGAGTTTTCAAGGCTGTAATTGTGCAGAAGCAGGTTGCCAGGCCTTTCTTCTGAGGCACTGCTGGGTAGATTCAAACTGTCAACTTTTCACAAAACATTTGCACCACTCAGGGATCTCTAGCACGTACTCAAAAAAAAAAACTCACTGCCACTGAGTCAATTTTGACTCATAGTGACCCTCATTGTGTTTCCAAGGCTATAAATCTTTACAGAAGCAGACTGCCCCATCTTTCTTCCATAGAGCAGCTGGTAGGTTTGAACTGCTGACCTTTTGATTAGCAGCCAAATGCCTTAACCACTATACCACCAGAGCTCCTTCTAGCATGTACTAGGTGCTTGATAAATAGCTAATGAATGAATTATGAATGTCAAATGCAAGGTGTCCCATAAATAACAGATGTTCAGTGAATATTTGTTGAGAGAATGATGATCGAGTGAATGAGTGGCAGGAGCCCTAGCAGGATGGTAAGAGGAAGACAAGACTGAAGAAACAGAGTGAAAGGCCACTGTGACACACACCTTTAGCCCAGTCGCTCAGTCTCAGACTTCGCCTGCACACACACACTCCATGTTCTCAAGCAGGAGACAACCCATGGGAACAAGCTCTGTCAGAGAACCCGTGTGGCTTCACTACTTACAAATCGCGAGGAGTTGTCGTTCTTGACTGTTTTGGCGTTGCCAAAAGCTTCCAGAATTGGGTTTGCTTGTAGAAGTTGCTTTTCCAGCTCACCCTAAAAGTCATTCACATCTAGTTATTTGAGAAAGCAACCCAGTCCTGATAGTTCTACTTAGACAGAGGTTGTCCCAAGACTGCCTTTAATCCACAGTTTCTCTCCTATCCTACCTCCTAGTCACTCTGAGACTGATGCTAATATCCAGATTTATTTGAGGGTTTCAGAATAACTGGTTGAGCTCTCTGATAGCTAGGACATCTGTTCCCTGAGTAGGCCACTTTTTCCAAGAACAGAAGCTGCTTGTTCACACAGTGCTGTGCCATTCAGGGGCAGCACACGACACACTGCTGGGGACACCGTTCACATCACAGTGACTGTGCCTCAGGGCGCTGTGCAGTGTCCTGTGTATGGCCCTCTTGCTGGTGCTCATGTTTAACAAGCAGCCTTCTTCAAGCTAAACCACTGCAATCCTGATCTCATGGTCATTTTTATGACATTTTTCAAAACTGCAATTTAACCTTTCTCAGGATTGTTTTCCTGGAGTCTCCTACAGAGAAAAAGGCATGTGCAAAACCCACTGGGAATCCTTTTCAAGGACTGCAGAACAAAGCTTCAAAGCAGGTTGCCTGAGCTCCATCCATCAGGTTAAATGTAGCTGAGGTTGTACACAGCCCACCGGCCCACCGGCCCCCTCTGCAGCACTCCTGTGCACAAATGCGGTCACGTGCTCAATCATGGCAGCAAAATGGCCAATGAGGTTAAGTCATGCTGGGAAAGCGAATGAGCTACTTCTTCCTAACCCAAAGACATGGCAGCTGCAGGCTGGCTCAGACACCTCCTCCTTGTCCTAGCTCTTCCTCCAGGCTTCCTCTGGGCAGTGTTCTGGGGGTATTCTCCTTATTCCCTTGCCTTTCCCTTGCCTTTCTTCCAGACAGCAAAACTGGGCATAACAGAAGCAAGGAAGTGGTGTAGAGGGAGGGTGCAGTGTTCTTGCCTGTCTACACATCAGGAAGGCATCATGGGTAGTTTACACTGACAGGCAAAACAGCAAGGAATTATTTAGTTATGTTTGTAGTTCTACATCTGCCCTCCTCCTTTGCAGCTCTCAAAAAAAGATATAGCAGAATCATCATTTCATGGAAATCCCAGCCACAACTGGAATCCCCCATAATTGGGACTTGTGGACATCTATGATGAGAGCTGTGGGCTTTTCTTGGCTAGTGTTAGGACTAAAGGAAGCACTTCAAACAACACAAACTTGGGGTCCAAATATCCTTCCAGAAGGCCCCCTTTCTAGAATGGAAATTCCAGCTGGTAGAGTCAAAGGGTCCTTCTCAGAAGAGCTTTAAACATGAAACTAATACATCAGAAGGGACCTGCTCTAATCCCTCATTTTATGGATGATGAGACCATAGCCCAGAGAAGTTAAGTAATTCAGCCTAAGTCACACAGGGGCAGACCCCAAATAAGAGGTCTGATTAAAGATACTGCTGCCCAGAGTTTTAGATCAATTGAGTGATCTTTCTGGAGCCGTGGGAGACCTCTGAGGGTCTCCCCCAGGCCTGGGACCCATGTACTAGCCCCTCAAGCTCTGTGTTAGAGGTTGAGCAGGACCTAGTTGTGTGTTGTGTACCTGGGGCCTTACTGTGCCACCAAAGCTGTGCATTTCTGGAGCCTTGGGTCAAGCAACCAGCATGCAAAAGACAAACACGCACTGCACACGCATGCAAAAGGACACTCCAGTGTGCTGGGGACAGGGCTGGGGCAGAAATTGAAGGCAATGGCAGGAAGAAGGGAGGGAGGCATGCCACAGCTGTGCCACCAACTGACTGTCAGTCAAGCCAGGGAAGCATTGGGGCCGACAGTCCTAAAACGCTTAACCAGACAGGACAGATGTCTCTAGGTCATTCCAGTTGGTGGACACTTTGGTGGAAAGGGAGAGGGGATTCATTCTGCACTGGGGAAAATCCATTCCATCCAAGCTGGAAGACAATCCTGGGGATTCCAACGAGAGTCCTGCGGGTGGCAAATGCACTGTCTCCTGCTCCATGCTGGCACTGGACACCCGCAGGGCAGTATTTTGGTGTGTTTGTTGTTTGGGTTTGTGAAACTTGGGGGCCAACCCCATTCTACCATCAACTACAGGACTCAGTGGGTGCAGTAGGAGCATGCAGACCTAAACACACTCCGTGCCTCCCACACACACCGAGAAAACACCCTCAGTTACTCACGTAGGCAAAAGATGGACCTTGCTGTGGTTGAACGATACAGTATAAAACAAACATCGGTGTTATTTTAATCACACATACATCCAGGTCTGGGGAATACACTATTCCAATCCCCCCATTCCCAAGCAGCCTGGATTCCCCAAGATAACTGTAACTGTGGCTTCTTCTCCTTTACTCTATCCCCTCCTCCCTGGTTAGCTCTCTCCCTTTTCTAGTTTCTTCTTCTTGTTGTTGTTGTTATATGCCGTCGAGTTGGCCCCGACTCATAGCGACCCCCTCTTGGGTTTCCAAGGCAGTATCACTATGGAAGTAGGATTGCCCAACCTTCCTTCCGAGGAGTGGCTGGTGGGTTTGAACCACCAGCCTTCTGTTTAGCAGTCAAGTGCCTTAGGCACTATGCTACCAGAGCTCCTTTTCTAGTTTCTTAGTGGTCTGGATATTTCAAGGTTTTTTTGTAATTGCTGGGGCCCAAGCTGGCTCTTTAAACTTGTATCTGAGGAGATAAAATCTGAGATGAGTTTACAAATGCAGATAGAGAAGTGTCTGGCACACAGGCATTGTTGTAGTTAGGTGTTGGTCAAGTGGATTCCAACCCACAGTGACCCCATGGGACAGATTAGAACTGCTCCATCAGTTTTTCTAGGCTGTAATCTTTACAAGAGCAGATCACCAGGTCTTTCTACCATGGAGCTGGGTAGGGTCAAAGCACCAGTCTTTCAGTCAGCAGCCAAACACTTAACCCACCAGGGCTCCTTAGTACATAGTGTTGTTGTTGTTATGTGCCGTTGAGTCAGCTCCTACTCATAGCGATCCCTCCTTGGGTTGCTAAGGCAGTATCACTACAGAAGTAGAGGCACTTGATAAAGGCACGTTATTATTAAGTCTTATTATTTCTTTTTACTATTATAAGGGGGAGAAAGGGCAGTGGGAAGCAGTATTTTAACCATCATACAAACTTTGGGGCTACTTTTCCCATACATTGTGTCCAGAAACCAACTTGTCAGAGATGGTTCTGAAATGCCAGATCCTGGCTTTTTTGACATTTATTTTAGGGAGGAGAGTTCTCCAAAGCTACAACTGCCCCTGCCCCAGATCTCCAAGGGTCTTCAGACAAGCTGGCCTCTGCAGCTGCTGGACAATCAGTCACCTTCAAGGGACCAGGAATGGCCCGAAATGGCAGGAACCAGTAACAACCCCTAGCCATGTTCAGGTCCCCAGTCTATTATCTTCCCAAACCCGAACCTGCAGGTAGAGATGCTGACAAATCCTTGAAGTGGCCTGACTTGAAGTGTCTGCTTGTCTCTTCCTCTGGGACAGAGGAGGCAGGGTTAGGATGGAGAAGAAGAGGACAAGCCCAGAAAACCCACTCAGTTGGGGTTGACTGACTCCAGAAACTGCTTCTTTCCTTCAAAGCCCTTAGCCATACCCATCATAGTTTGTTCATCTGTGATTACTGGATGACTCTCTTGCCTACCGGTCTAGAAGCTCAGTCAATAGAATAACTCATCACCAAAGCCTCCATCCTAGAAGTGCCAAGCACATACTAGGTGCTCAGTCAATAGTCACTGACTGACACTAGATGAAAGCCCACATGCTAAGTGGCTCCAATATCCCCACCTCCTGAGTCCCAGTCAGAGGGGACACATGGAGGAGGGATGAGCAAATCCAAAGTGAACCTCAACTTCAGTGTACTTATAGAGATTTGGTTAAAGCAGTGGTCCCCAACTGGTTTTGCTCCTACAGAGGACATTAGGCAATGTCTGGAGACATTTTTGGTTGTCACAACTTTGGGGGAGGGGATGAGGTGTTACTGGCATGTGGTTGGCAGAGAGCGGGGCTGCTGCTAAGCACCCTACAATACACAGGACAGCACCCCACATCAGAGAACTATCTGGCCCAAGATGTCAGTAATGCTGAGGTTGAGAAACCTTAACTTAAAGCAAAATCTCCTCAAGCAGGCCCCTTCAGGATCCACGCCTGAGACAAGGAATTGCTCAGACCCAAGTAAGCCCATGCAGGGGAAGAAGGACCCTGCTGTGAGTGGTCAAGGAGAGAACAGTTCAACACCCGGCCCAAGTTCTTAAAATGCTCTGCCCTGAAAAGTCTCAGCCGATTCCAGGGCTCTCCCAACCGTGGCTCTGTTTGTACGTCAGGACACATACTGAGAGACCCACTGCTGCTAGCTTGACAGTTGCCACTCACCGTGATGCTGGTGTCCTTCTTGCCCTTGTGGGAGGAGGCCACCACAGCCAGGTACTGAATGACTTTCTTGGTGTTTTCCGTTTTCCCGGCTCCAGACTCGCCTCTGAAAGACATGGGAACAGTGATCTAGGGCTCATTGGCAGTAACCCTCCACAGGGTTGCTATGATTTGGAATTGATCTGATGGCACTGGGTTTGGTTTTTGTTAGGTGTTCTGTGGGTACCTCTCCACAGCTCTGTGAGGTAGGCAGGGCAAGAATCATCATCACTGTCATTCCCCAGGTGAAGAAACTGAGCCTTGCCCAAGGTCACACTGCTGGTAGAGAGCTGAGCTGGGCTTCAAATGCAGGTCCAATACTCAGTCTGCTCCTCCCAAAAGGATGCAGGATAAGATGCAGATGAAAAGAGTGAAGGAGAAAACCTGTGCTTTCTTACTAAGCTCCAAAGTCGGGTTTATTTGGAATTGTCTGCTTTTAAGACATCATTAGCATGGCAAGAGATGGAAAAATCAGGCAAAGGGCAGCCTATAAGGAAGGAGCTCTCGTAGCATAGTGCCTAAGGCACTTGACTGCTAACCAGAAGGCTGGAGGGTCAAACCCACCAGCCACTCCTCAGAAGGAAGGTTGGGAAATCTACTTCTGTAGTGATACTGACTTGGAAACCCAAGGAGGGGTCACTATGAGAGTCAGGGCCAACTGGACGGCACATAACAAGGTAAAAGTTCAGAAGTTCCCCCTACTGAGAGAAGAACGGGTTATCCCATCATCCACAAGTCCCTTTGTCCTCTGGGAAATCCCTATCTGATGTCAGGTAGCTAGTTAATGAGCTCATCAGTTATCAAAGGATAAACCAGGTTGGAGTAATTCATGCTAAGGTATAAATGACTGGTCAGATTAGATCAGCAGGACACTGTCTGTCTTATCAAAGGAGGCCTCCTAGAATATGGGGGTAACTTTTCCACCAGGCTGACCAGCTGCCTCTCTTATCTACTGGAGAGCATCATGATGGGACCCTTCATCCCAGGGTTCCAGACGCTGCCTCTAGCCTCCTGCCACTCCCTTTTCATCCTCTCCTCTTCCCCTCCCCCCTCTATTTGCCTATATACTACCTTTTTTATTTTCCAAGCTAGCTCACTTAAATACTCTGAGCTGCAAAAGATAGATTTTTTTTTTTTTTTTTAAAGAAAGTCTGGAAAAGAATTTGTCCATCTCAAGGTCGGCTCAAGATTCTTGGCACTAAACCAGAGCCATCAGAGCTACAGCGGTCCCTGTGCCTCTTCCTAATTAGGAAATACAGAAACTAATCTTCTCTGCCAAGGGATTACGGTTTAAACAGAAAAAAAGAAACGTGCCTTGAGTTGCCGGTTCCAACACTTGTTGTTGTTGTTGTTGTTGTTATGTGCCCTTGAGTCAGACCCGACTCATAGCGACCCCTCCTTGGGTTTCCAAGGCAGTGTCATTACGGAAGTAGATTGCCCCATCTTCCTTCCGAGGAGTGACTGGTGGATTTGAATCGCCAGCCTTCTGGTTAGCAGTCCAGTGCCTTAGGCACTACGCTACCAGAGCTCCCTACAGGCCCCAAAATCCAGAAATCAAGTGTCAGGTTGCCAGGATTGATGAAACATCTCTTGTTGGCATCAACCCTTTCCCGAGGGTCTCTCACAGCCACATTATTTCTCATGGCTTCAGGGGCAGTTTGTGAAATAAGAACTATGGAGGCGTTATCCCCATTTTCCTGTAAGGAAAAGCTAAGGCCAAACACATTTGATTTTTTTTTTTTTTTAAATTTTAAAGAAGGGAATTAATTTTGGGGTGGGCAGAGATCCTGTGTTACTTATTTCAGTTGGAGTCTTCTCATCCTTCCCCCACCTCCAATCCTGAAGGTAGGATTTATCACTTCCATATCACAGGAGAGGAATTTTGGCTCAGAGTGGGTAAGCAACTCACCCTAGATCACACAGTGAGGCAGTGGCATAGTCAGAATTGAAAGCCAGGTCTCCAATTATAACCAATCAGGACTTTTTCGGAGCTCTGGTAGCCTAGTGCCTAAGGCACTTGATTGCTAACCAGAAGGCTAGAGGTTCAAACCCACCAGCCACTCCTCAGAAGGAAGATGGGGCAATCTACTGTAGTGATACTGCCTTGGAAACCCAGGGAGGGGTTGCTATGAGTCAGGTTTGACTCAATGGCACATAACAACAACAACAACAACAACAGGACTTTTCTACTTCATTTTACCAAATGCATCCAGTGACATAGCCCAGACCTTCTAGGAACTTTCTAAGCCCAGAGAAAGGGAAAAGGGAAAGAAGGCAATATTTGTCGAAGGGCTACTCATTGGGCTCACAAATCTTTTTATTTAATCCTCCCAAAAATAACTGTCAATGAAGGAGTTATGGATTAGCCTCATCACCTAATTGGGGAAACTGTGGCTTAGAGTTGTTGAAGGAAATTGCACCAGGTCACACAAGTAGGAAATGGAAGAGGAGAGGGATTTGAACACTGGCCCACTTGACTCCAGAGCTCTTATATTTTGAAAAGTGAGGAGTGATATAACGTGAGAGAGATCCAGTGAAGCCCCACTACACTCTATCAAAAAGTTCTTCCACATGGGACAACTTGGTCAACTGGCAGAATATAGTTCCTAAAGGATGTATGTTCTATATCCCAGTGTGCTGAGCTTAAAAGCTTGTGAATGAACATCTAAGATACAACTATTGGTCTCTACACATCCTGAGCAAAAGAGAAAGAAACCAAAGACACAGAAGAAAGCAGTCCACAGGACTAATAGTCAACGTGAACCACGACCTCATCTACCCTGAGACCAGAAGAACTAGCTACCACTGGCTACCTGGCTACCTGGCTACCACTACCTACCATTATGATCAGGGACACAACAAATGGATCCTTATAGAACAGGAAATAAATGTGGAAACGATTCAAATTCTTAAAAAGTCCAGACTTGCTGGACTGGTTGAGACTAGAGGACATCCTGATATTATCGCCCTGAGATATACTTTGTGGTGGTTAAGCCTGTGTGTCCATTTGGCTGACCATGACTTTGAGTAGCTTGGCAGTTGTATGCAATTATTCCCCATGATGAGAGTGCACGATGTGTAATCAACTCCATGGTGGAATCTGCTATGAGCAGATAATCAGTTGCCTGTGGGGGGTGCTTTGCTTCCAGTATATATGGGGAAGCTTTGAAGAAGGTCTCTAGCTTTTTGGCACATTTGGCTAACCAGGGGCCTTCCGTGTTATCTACCAGTCTTGGGATCGTGCCATTTTATTTGTTGACCTTGGTTACATTAGTCTCAGCAGCCAATGGCTTCATGAGTCCGAAGCCTTTAGCTTGTTCAAGTGGTCTTGGCATAAGAGGCAGAGCTGAAGCCCAAGGTCAAGGGGCCTCCACCCGGCCCCTAGAGCTGGCATTCTGAACGTGGACTTCTAGTCCCCTAAACTGTAAGATTATAAATTCCTGTTGGTTAAAGCCAGCCACTTGTGGTATTTCTGTTATAGCAGCACTAGAGAGCCAAAACTAAAAAAACTAAACGCACATACTTTAAAACTTAAACTGAAATTATCCCTTCAGGTCACCCTTTAGTGAGTAACAAGCATTTTTAAGAAAAACCATTTATAGGATAACAAATGTTCAAAAATTACTCTAAAATGAAATGAGAAGGTAAAAGGGTGGGAAACTACAGGGAGTTGGAACAGTACAAGTAGAACAGAATGAATGAGAACAATGACACGTCGTGAAAAATGTAACGAGTATCACTGAATAATTTGTATATTGTTCAATGGGAACCTAATTGTTGCATAAATTTTCACCTTACCATCATACTAGTGCATGTGGATCACTACTGCCCACTTCTCCATCTCACAACCATTTCCTCAATTTCTACCTCTGCCTTCAGCCTCTCCTGCCTCCTCTCTTGACAACAAAGACATCGGCATGCTTGAGCACTATGCTTTTTTTAAGACCCGTCTACGTGGAATCAAACTGACAACAGCAACTTGAAAGATTAGATAGGAACCTTAGCAGGGAGTGAATTTATGTTAATGGGGGAGAAACAACTCAGCAAAAGGACAGTGAGGGTTGCACAACTTGAAGAATGTAATCAATGTCATGGACTTGGGAGCTCTGGTGGCTTAGTGCCTAAGGCATTCAACTGTTAACCAGAAGGCTAGAGGTTCAAACCTGCTAGCCACTTGGAGTAGTTAAGGTTGTAGGTCAACTTGGCTGTGCCTGGTTGAGTGGCTGGGCAGCTGGTGGTAGTTATTCCCCATGATGAGACTGGTAATCAACTCCATGGTGGGATCTACCACAAGCAGCTGAGTAGCTGCTTTAGGGCTATGGTCTGCTTCCTGTATGTAAGAAGCACTTTTGGGAATGGTCTCCAGCTTACGGCACGCTTGAACTCCGTGTGTAGCAAGTCATTGTTCAGCAGCGTGCCGTGCTCTGCCAACCTTGGGACTTTCAATGGACTTGAATTAATGGCTTGCCATGTGGTTTGGTAACATTAGGACTCTGCCTTTTTACTTGTCAACCTTGGGCTTGTCAGTCCCAGCAGCCAGCAGATGTCTGAGTGAATAAAAGAGTCTAGCTCCAGTGGGCCGGGAGCAGGAGGCAGAGCTGAAGCCCAAGGATGAGGGGCTTTTCCCATGGTCCCTAGAACTTGGCACTTTGAACTTGGACTTAAAGCCTCCAAAAAGTAAGAGAATAAACTCCTGTTTGTTCAAGCCATCCTTTTTGTGGCATATTCCTGTCAGAGAGGCACCAGGTAACCAAAACATCACTCCTCAGAAGGAAGATTGGGCAATCTACTTCCACAGTGATACTGCCTCAGAAACTCAAGGAGGGGTTGCTATGAGTCAGATCCAACTCGACAGAATTAGAAACTTCAATTGGTGGATGCTTTTGGTGTGAATATTCTCAACTACAACAACAAAAATAAGTTATTTAAAAAGAAAAGACATTGGCATGATATGTCTGTGGTCCTGGTCATCTGCTTTGTAGGGGAGGGGAATATGAACTTTGGGAATTGACTTCTTCCTGCATGGACTGGTTGGCACAACAGTTTCTAAGTTTTGTTGATAAAAATAATTTGTCCTGGGAGGTTCTGCTAGAGAAAACACTCCAAGCTCCAGGTTCATGGATGTCTGAACACTGATGTACTCAGGGCTGCTTCAGAATTATTACTCTCTCTGCTTTTCTGAACCCTGAGCTCTAGGGGTAAAGATGACTTCCTGGGTCTGAGCACCTAAACCCTGGTCCTGTTTCTTAGGAAATGTGGTGCCCAGTTCCCTCTGCCAGTGTCCTGGACTCATGACCACGTATAGATTCCTGACCCTGTAATTATCTCATTGCCATTGTCTTTTAATCAGTCCAGCCCCAGTGGCTGAAAGGAGCCACCCAATGGCCACTCAATGATAAAGTGAGCTTCATGGGCTTGCAACCTACGCAGGTGTGTGGGCTCTGCACCGAGAACATCCTGCGCTTGGTTTAATTCTCCACTGTAATTGTATAATTCATTTGGAACAAGGGGCCCCCTATATTTGTTTTTCACTGGACACATGAAGTACGTAGCTAGTCCTGGCTCCCAGGGATGACCGCCATTTCCAAGTCCGTTTTAGCCAATGGTCTGCCCTTAGTATGAAAGCCCAATTGGCTCTGGCCCTCAGCCTGTTCAATCCCTGGCTCTTGTATGACTCCTACCCTGTTGTAAGCAAAGCCCTCTGGCATTTGTGCCATCCAGCTCCTATATACCCTGCAACACCCAGTTTGGCACTGCCTCTATCCAGAAGCCTGCCTCCAACTTTCCCAAGCAAAATCAAGTGGCAAAACAGCACAGGAGGCTCCTAGTGCAAAATAGCACAAAGGTCAGCTTGAGTTTAAATCCCTGCTCTGCCAGCTACCAAGTACCCTTCAGCAAGTCATTTAACCCCACTGAGCCTCAGTTTCCTTATCTATAAAATGGGTATGATAAAAGCCCTTCCTTTGTATGATTTTTATGAGGATTAAATGAGAGAATGAGTGAATAACCTGTAAAACAGTGTAGATGCACAATAAACACACAAAAATGTTAGCTACTGTGATGGTTAATGTTATATACCCACTTGGCTATGACTCTCATTGGTTTGGAAAGCATTGGAATGATTGTTCCTGCATAATGTAATATGATATAATCATCTCCATGAGCTCTGGTGGTATAGTGCCTAAGGCATTTGACTGCTAACCAGAAGGCTGGTGGTTCAAATCCATCAGCCACTCCTTGAAAGGAAGACTGGGCAATCTATTTCCCTAGAGATACTGCCTCACCTCGGAAACCCAAGGAGGGGTCGTTATGAGTCAGGACCAACTCAATGGCAATGAGTTTGGTTTTGGTTTATGATGTGATCTGATGTAAGTAGCCAATCAGCTGAAAGGGAAGTTTCCTTGGGGATGTGGCCTGCCTCCAGTATGTAAACATTATTTGCTTGGCTTCAATTGGCCCTTGGGTTTGCAGCCACAATCTCAAATGCCCTGTAATGGCTCTTCTCAGACAGAAAAGCAATCCAGGATAATATCCTTATTTTAAGATCAGCTGATTAGCAACCTTAATTCCACCTGCAGCCTTAATTTCTTTGCCGTGTAAGATAATAGCAGGTCTGGGGATTAGAATGTGGACATCTTTAGGGCACTTTTTTGCCTACCATGGGGGTGATTAATTTTTTTTCCTGAACAGATTCCCTAAATAATTCTGAATTATTATCTCTTAAGTATGTATCAAAGTCTTCAAAGAAACAGTGACACCAACTACCAAATATGGCACAGATGTGGTTAGCAACTTGCTAGTTGTAGAATGTTAAAAAACAGCAGTTCAACACAAGCCTCAGTTTCCTAACCAACAGAGATGGGTCAACCTTCATGGAGCCGACACACCGTTAGATGAGATTCTGGTGTAGAATGCTTAGTTCAGGGGCTGGCACACAATCAGTGCTCAATAAATGCTAGTGCTTTTTTTTTTACAAAAAAAAAAAAAAAAAAAAAGCAGAACAAAACTCCGCTTGGTAATAGTTGAGAGTTTAGGTTTGCCTGCCTTACCATGAGAACACTTGTTCAACAAATGTTTAATGAGCATCTACTCTGTACCAGGTACAGTGTGCAGCACTTGGGACACATCAGCAAACAAAACAAGGATCCCTGGCCCTCACGGCTGTTTTCTTTAATGGGTTGGATCCAAATACAGAAAGCAGAATAAAAAGCAGCTCCACTTACGTGCATAAAATGGACTGATCCTCCCGATCTGAGAACAGAAAAAGAAAAAAAGACATGAGTTAGAATTCATTCCAGGAAGCTAAGGGGCTAATCTAGCCATGCCCCACCCCACCCCCAAGGAACTCCCACTCCAAGCTCCCGCACCCCAGTCCTACTGGGGGCTCTAAGAAGCCAGCCAAGTTCATTGCCCCAGGGCACAGGGCCAAGCCCAAAGTCAAGAGGGTGGCAAGGCTACCACTCACCCATAAAGTTCCCAGAGCAGCCCAGAAAGATGCTAAGATCTGACTTATTCAAAAGACAGGGAGTATAACAGTCATACAAGCTCTGAAAGGATCCTGGAGACCCATCCTGCCCAGACTAGGTCATGGACTTTGGATCCAGACAGATTGGGTTCTCACTTGCCACTTCCCAGCCCCAACGCCTTGGGTAAATATTCTTAACTTCTCCATGCCTCTGTTCCTTCATCTGTAATATGAAGTTTGAACTTTTTTTTTTTTTTTGACAATCCAGCATCCAATTCTATTCTTTAAGAAGACCATCCTGTGTTCCTTTAGGAGAACTATCCTCTTTCTTACCCCTGCCTTCATGTACCATCTTGGTGGAGCTGCCCAACAAGTTCCCTGAGCCAAGAGGTAAGAACATGACCCAGGTTACGTCTTTCAGAGTCGCTGACCTAAAACTCCAAGTCTCAATCACAGGGACAGAGAAACAGAGCAGGTGGACAGAGCCCCGAGGAGGCTATGGCTTCTTGTCCCAGAGCTAGAGCACCCTAGTTTCTGTCATTTTCCAAGTCTGGCTCTCCTGTCTCCCTGCTCCTTCTATGAGCTGTCCAATACCAGAACCAGTTGGTATCAAGTTGATTCCAACTCTTGGTGACCCCTGTGTGTCAGAGTGGAATTGTGCTCCATAGGATTTTCAATGGCTGATTTTTTTAGAAGTACAGCTGATCCTTGAACAATGTGGGGTTAGGGGTGCCAACCCCCCCCCCCACAGTGGAAAATCCACATATAACTTTTGACTCCCCAAAAACTTAACTACTAATAGCCTACTGTTGGCTGAAAGCCTTACTGATAAAATAAATAATCAACACCCTTCTTGCCATATAGTTATTAGATTTTCACATGAAGCCATTCACACACATGCACAAAGTTTTTTAATTGTATGGTATGATGATTATTTACTATTCATGAATTGTATGGTATGATGATTATTTACTATTCATGAATTGTATGGTATGATGATTATTTACT